TGAGATGATACCTCATTGTTGTTTTGATTTGCATCTCTCAGATGATTAGTGACTTTGAGCATGTTTTCATATGTCTCTTGGCTTTCTGTATGTCCTTTTCTTTTCAAATGGCTGATCTCTTTCACCATGGCTCATGCTTATGTCCAAAGAGAAATCAGTCAGGAAGCTAAAATATAAATCCTCCACCTGAAAGTAAAAACAGTCATAGCACTTGGAGCACAAGTGGAAAAAGCAAAAGGTAGATGAATAAGTAGGCAATGATGATGACACAAAGACATGTCATACTGTACTTGTCATAGTTATTAGACTCCACATGAAGATACACACACAATATTTATTGATTGATAGATAGATTGATTGAAACTAGCTCATGTTTAATTGTGACATTTTAAAATTGGACAAGTGCCCTAGCTGGGTTGGCTCCATGGATAGAGCATTAGCCTATGGACTAAAGGTATCAAGTTTACTTCAGGTCAAAGGCACATGCCTGGGTTATAGGCTCGATCCCCATTAAGGGATGTATAGGAGGCTGCCGACAAATGTCGTTTCTATCTCTCTCTTTCCCTTCCTCTCTGAAATAAATAAAAATATATTTCAAAATATAAAATTGGACAAGTGTTTTGACATCTGCCCCTTCCCCCATTTTTAGTTTCTTTAAAGTTGCAAGAAAACAGTAACCAATCACAGGTTTAATGGATTTAATAAATTTACCCCTTTGGCTCCTATTTGCAGCGCCCAATATTCCCTTCAAACCCCAGACAGATTTGATGGTGGCCAACAGTAAGTTGTAGACCAATAAGTTTCAGCTGAGCATTTTGTGTTGCAGTAGCACTCATCCCAAATGGTACCTCTTGTAGTTGGGCAACTTCAAATGTACCAGTTGAAAAAGCTTTTTCCCTTCAAGGGGAAGAAAAATCACTCCTCAAAACCCTGCAGATATGGCTGTGTGGTCTTTCCTCCTGTTCCATGTCTTCAGGATTTATTTTGTGTTATCTTTTTGTAGTGGAGCAAGAGACCAAAACCTAACCTGAGTGACAAGAATCAAGATAGTAATGGCTATAAAGGCAGTGACCAGGAAAAACTGAGGCGTTTCTTTACCTCCCACATCCAATATATGTGCCTCACAGAAAACAACAAAAATAACAGGTCCACAAATTACAACACCTAGAATTGCAACATCCATTCATCCAAGAGTGGTG